CCACAGCTAGGAGTTTGATTCTGACAGGCTCATGATTCAGCTCCCATCCTTCTGAGATGGGTAAAGATAGATTGCTGGGGACCATAGGCTGACTTTGTAAACTGCTCATAGTGTGTGGTAAATCATTGTGGTATATAAGTCTTAAGTGGAATTGCTATTGCTATATAGTTTCTCCCGAGCATGTATCCTTTTATGAGAAGTAAGAATACTATTCTGAGCAAAGCTCTTTCCACATTCCATGCATTTATATGGCCTCTCTCCTGTGTGGATTTTGTTGTGGCAAGTAAGACCATACTTCCCAGCATATGTCTTTCCACAATGCATGCATTTATATGGTTTCTCTCCTGTGTGAATCTTGTTGTGGTACCAAAGTCCACCTCTCTGAGCAAAGGTCTTCCCACACTCCATGCATTTATACGGCTTCTCCCCTGTGTGGATTGTTTCATGTATTCTTAGACAACTGCTACGAGCAAAGGTCTTTCCACATTCCATGCATTTATACGGCTTCTCCCCTGTGTGGATCATCTTATGTCGAATAAGAGTACCTCTTCGAGCAAAGGTCTTCCCACACTCCATACATTTATATGGTATTTCCCCTGTGTGGGTTATCATATGGGAACTAAGATGACCACTTCGAGCAAAGGTCTTCCCACACTCCATGCATTTATACGGCTTCTCCCCTGTGTGGATCATGATATGGGAAATAAGATGATGTTTTTGAGCAAAGGTCTTCCCACACTCCATGCATTTATATGGTTTCTCCCCTGTGTGGATTATCATATGGGTACTAAGATGACCACTTCGAGCAAAGGTCTTCCCACATTCCATGCATTTATACAGCTTCTCCCCTGTGTGGATCATCTTGTGGCAAATAAGTTTATCTTTTTGAGCAAAGGTCTTTCTACACATAATGCATTTATACGGCTTTTCCCTTGTGTGGATTATCATATGGGAACTAAGATGACCACTTCGAGCAAAGGTCTTCCCACACTCCATGCATTTATACGGCTTCTCCCCTGTATGGATCATGATATGGGAAATAAGATTACATTTTTGAGCAAAGGTCTTCCCACACTCCATGCATTTATATGGCTTTTCTCCTGTGTGGATTCTCATATGGGTACTAAGATGACCACTGTGAGCAAAGGTCTTTCCACACTCCATACATTTATACGGTTTTTCCCCTGTGTGGATTATCATATGGGAACTAAGATGACCACTTCGAGCAAAGGTCTTCCCACACTCCATGCATTTATACGGCTTCTCCCCTGTGTGGATCGTCTTATGGCAAATAAGATTACCTCTTTGAGCAAAGGTTTTTCCATACTCCATGCATTTATATGGTTTCTCTCCTGAGTGGATCCTTTTATGGGAAATAAGATTATTCCATCTTCTGAATGTGATACCACAGTCTCTGCATTTGTAGAGCTTCTCCCCAGTGTGAATCCTTTCATGGGAAGTAAGTTGCCTACTTTTTTCTAAAACATGTTCCACATTCCAAACATTTATAAGGCTTCTCTTTTATATCAATCACTTTTTTAGATGTAAGGAACTTATTTCTAAGAGAAGGAATGAATGTCTCATTGTAATTTTGTCTATTGTGTCTTCTCATAACATCTTCTCCATTGTCTTGGCTTAAATAGTGTTCTTTTACTTGTAGTTTAGTTTTCATTGGCTTCACACTTTTCCCATTATATTTTTTCCTTATTTCCTCTTGCTGGGCATC